AAACCATCTGTTGGCTATATCCCAACCTGGAGTGCCCCTGTTGTAATCAGCTTCCTTAAATGGAAATGTCTTGTTCTGCTCATTTCAGCATTCTCTAAAACATCCTTTCAGTAAGTGGGTCCTTGCCCGATCCTCTCCCACCCACATTCCTATGGTAACATAGGCATCGTAATCCAGTGTCAATTCCCTGGGGGCCAATGACGGCTGGCACTCCATAGGAGATGACTGATTTCTTTCTATGGAACAATTCTAAAGCCCCAGAACTCCGTTTTCTTGTTCCCTGGGGCTCCCATCCCTGTAAAGGGGCTGGTGGGGGTAGAATGAAACATCCTGAACATGCATTTCTCCTGCTAGGGGAATTGACCCACGTCACGTCCAATAATCTTAGACTGTCAGTTAGGAGATTCCCTAGAGTATGGAATGGAATAGATAACTAGATATGGAAACCGAAGGCCTTCGTTCCAGTCCTAGCTCTAACACTAGCTGTGTGACCTTAGGCTAATTACATTACTCCATTAAGCCTCAGTTTTCATAACTGGAAAATGAAGGAGTTAATTTAGTTCAAGAATGTCTAAGGTCTTTTCTAGCTCTGATATTCACTGATTCTGGGAAACTGTCTAATTTAGCCACCTTTCTATACCTGCAATCACACCTACCCCCTTCCCTAGTGCCTTCCTTTGAGAGATAAGGAGATCAGAACCCAGAAGAGTGAGATCATCTGCCCAAAGACACGCACTTGTCATTGGTGTACCTGGGAGTGTGGTGTATTTCCCTCTTGTAAGCCCATATCTTCTTCCACTGTCTAGTTCTGCCTTCAGAACTGTATCTTATAGTCCCCAAACCCAGAGTTACTTCGGAGAGGGCGGCTCACGTTTGGGACCCTTTTTTCCCTTCAGGGCGGACCCTGCTGCTTCCGGGCAGTGCTGCACAATTCCCCAAGGCTGACCTCAACATGAGGTCGCCCTGTGACAGGGGCCTAGGAAGAAGAAGGTGCAACTCAGCATCACAAGGTCACTAAGCTAGAAGCTGCCCAGTCCACTCCACTCAGTTTGTAGATGAGGAAACTGAGGACCGAAGAGGTGAAGGGACTTGCCCAAGGTCATCAGGTAGCAAGCATCAGAGGCAGGATTTGAATTTAGGTTCTCTGACTCCAGAGCCATTGTACAGATGAGTTACAAAGCACAACCCTTGCTCCACCCCCTAAAAAAGAATCAGTTGTCTCCTTGAAACTTCACCATTAGAGCCTAGAGAAAACAGGACAGAGAGCAGGAAGGCATTTTAGTGACCATCCGAGTGTCGCAGTGGGTAGAGCGCTGGGCTTGGAGTCAGGAAGATCTGATTTCAAATCTGGCCTCAGACACCTACTAGCTGTGTGACCCTGGGTAAGTCACTTAACACTGTTGGCCTCAGTTTCCTCATCTGTAAAATGAGCTGGACAAGGAAGTGGCAAACCACTCCAGTATCTCTGCCAAGAAAACCCCAAATGGGGTCCCAAAGAGTCAGACACGACTGAAACTACTGAACAGCAACAAAGACCAACTCCCTCTTTTGACACACGAGGAAACAGTTTAGGAGAGGAGAAGTAATGGCCAAGGGCAGCAGGGGAAGAATAACAGAGCCAGGTGTCGACGTACCAGCACACTGGCTGGGCTCACGAAGCAGGAGCATAAAGAACATGAGGCTGGGAGTCAGCAAGGCCCAGCCCCAGCTCCATCACTGACCTGCCGTAATGCCTTGGGAGCCACTGTCCTCCTCTGCACCTCAGATTTCTCCTCCGTAGAAGGTGGGGTGAGATCAGGTCACGTCCGAGGGCAGCTAGGCAGTGCAGAGCATGGAGCTCCGACCTTGGAGTCAGGAGGACCTGAGTTCAAATCTGACCTCAGACACATGATCTTCACTAGCTGTGTGACCCTGGACAAGTCACTTAACCCTAATTGCCTTATCAAAAAGCAAAGAACAAACAGATCATCCGTGAGGTCCCTTTTAGCTCAAATACTTTGTGCTCTGTGGTGCAATATCTTTCAACCCTGATGTTTTAGGCTTCTCCCTCCCAAACCCACAGGCACTCTTCTTTCAAGAAGATTCCTTCGTAGCCTTAGAGATCGGTACTTCTGTTTTACAGAAGAGGAAATTAGGGCCCAGAGAGGATGTCACTTGCTTAAGTTTACATCATCATCATTTGGCGCTGTGCTAACTGCTTTTAAATTACTATTTCATTTGATCCTCACACCAACCATGGGAGGTTAGGTGCTATCATTATCCCCATTTTATAGATGAAGGAACTGAGACAGAGTTAGCCGACTTGTCCAGGATCACATAGCTAGTAAGTATCTGAGGTCAGATTTGAACCCTGGTCTTCCTGACTCCCGTGCTCTATCCACTGTGCCACCTCACATAGAAGAAATAAAGATATACTTACTTCATAAAAGAATGAAAGAAAATTACTAAGCGCTTAGTAGGTGATAAGCTCTGGAGATGCAGACAGAAAAGCAAGACAATACCAACTCTAAAGGACCTCACTTTCTTTTTTTCTTTTTTCTTTTTTTTTAAATTTTTAGGCAATTGGGGTTAAGTGCCCTGCCCAGGGGTCACACAGCCAGTAAGTGTCAAGTATTTGGTCTCAGGCCAGATTTGAACTCAGGTCCTCCCGACTTCAGGGCCAGTGCTCTATCCACCATGCCACCTAGCTTCCCCAGGACCTCACTTTCTAATGGGGAGAGACAACATATACGGGGGGGTCCAGATGGAGGGTCAATGGACAGGCCAGGTGGTCTTTCCATATGCAAGAAGTTGCAGAACCAGACTCAAATCAGGCCTTAAGACACCCAAAACCCACTGTTCTTTCTAGTACACTTAGTTGGAATTTCTCATTTTAGTTAATGGTTAGTCTTGGTTAATCTAACTAATCTTAATCCCACCTCTCATCATCCCATTCTTTCCCTCTCTCCTTTCATGGTATCTTTTCTTTTTCTTTCTCTTCCCTTCTCTACGGGCCTTTCTTTCCTCAAAACTTTCTTTTCGCCCCCTCTCTCACCTTTCTTTCCTACATTGTTGGGTAAGTGATCCTTGGGGGTATTGATGGGGTCCAGGAATTGATTCAGTCTGAGCCTCACCAAGTTGGTTCCCTTCTCTGGTCCTCAATTTCCTCATGTGTACAGTCACAGTATATTTCAGAAATCCCAATCTGAATAGACCTGAGACACCATCTCGTCCAACCTGTTGTTTTAGTAGCCAAGGAAACTGTGACTGATTTTCATTTTCTACCAGCTGCAGGACCAGGATTTTACTGGGCAGGCTCTGTACAGATATTTGTCCCAACAGCGGCACCCCTGAAATCTGCCTGTCCCACCTCCTTCCCACCCCATGTCCCTTGGCTCATCTCCAACATACAGGCTGAGGCATTAGTCTTCTCTTGCAGAAATCTGCCACTTTTGTTACCATAAAAGGCCAAGTGTTCCTCTGCTGCTAGCTGTAGGATAGTAAAAGGCTGAGCTATTTTTAGGGAGCTTGAGCGCCTCAGCTCAGGATTTGGTTTGCTTAGGCCTGGGTGCCTCAAAGTTCCTTCCCTTGCTCTCCTGCCTTATTCCTCCTGTCCCTTCCTTCCCAAACCCCGCCCCCTACCCGTTGCCTCTCACCCATTCTCTCTTCTTCCTTCTTCCCCTCTCTCTTTATTTTTCCTTATTTTTCTCCTTTAGTAACCTTTCTTTTCCTCATACTTTCTCTTCTACCCTTACTCACCTTTATCTCTCCATTCCTCTTTTTTCACTCTCTGCCATTTTCTTTCCCTTTTTCCCTTTTCCACTCTCTTCTTTCTCTTTTATATCTTTGCTAACTACCCCTTAAACATTATCTCTCACATTCTTTCTTCCTACCATTTTCCCTCTCTGTCCTCTTTTCTTTCTTCTATCCCTAACTCTTCATCTACCTCCCCATTCTCTCCTTTCCTCAACCTCTCTCTTCCTCCATTGTCCCACTCTTTTTCTTGTCTTCTTTCATCTTTGTCTTATTCTCTACCCAATCTTCTCTCTCTCTCTCTCTCTCTCTCTCTCTCTCTCTCTCTCTCTCTCTCTCTCTCTCTCTCTCTCCTCTCTTCTCTCTGACTTTCCCAGTCATTGTCTCTCTCCTACTTTATTCTTTCTCTGTTCTCCTTTCTTCCTTTTTTTCTTTCTCTATTCTCTTCCACATTTACCTTTCCCCCTTCTTTCTCATTTTCTTTATCCCACATCCTTTTGAAAAATGAACTTCCTTTTGAATATGAAACTGTGCAGGCTCTTTAAAAAAAGTCCTATTTACAACATGATTTCCAAACATCCTGCATCTGGTCCCAGGAAAAGGCCAAAAACTATTTAGAGAGGGAAAGCTGAGGTGCCACTTACAAAGCCAAAGAAATTTAAAGGCACCTCACTTCCTCCGTTCCTTTAAGTTCTGAACTCTTATCAAACCTCACCCCACTTACTGTATTTCTGATGTCATAGCCTTGATTTCCCTGATTTTGACCCAAGCTACTAAATTAGGAAAAGGGAAAGGAAGAGAGCAAAGAAAGAGTTAGGTGTAGCAGTGGAAAGAATATTGAATTTAGAGCCAGTGCTGATGCAGAAGACAGGGACCAGAAACACAAAGTGACAGATTATTCTTTTAGTCAATGATCAACATTTCAGGGAACTTGAAACAACACCAAATATGGATTGGTTAAAGGAACATCTGTGACCAGTGGAAAGAACACAGGACCAAGAGTCGGGCTACCTGGGTTCATGGGTCTGCCATTAATTAGCAGTGGGCCCTGGGCAATTCACTTCACCATCCTGGACTTCAGTATTCTCTTTCAAAAAATGAGGGGGTTGGGCTGAATGATGTGTAAGGCCTCTTGTGACTCTGTTAATCTGTGAATCTATAAACATAGACTGTTTAGGCTAGAGAAAAGAAGATGTGTTTGTAGACAGCTAGCATGCCTGACTATCTTAGGGGTGACTTACAATTAGATCTGTTCTTCTTTGACCCAGACTGGAAAAGTTGGAGCAATTTTCAGGGAGAAAACTAAGCAAGACATTCAAAGACTAAAGACGAATCAGCCGGGTGCTGTGAAAAGAGCCATGAAGTTTAGAGTCAGACTGGAAGACATGGATGCAAGTTCTACTACTTTTACTCGAAGAAATAAACCGTGTGCAAATCAGTTTCCCCTTCTCTGAGGCCTCAGGCTTCTCATCTGAAAGATGGGAACAATAATAATAATAATAATATTGGCATTCTCTACTCTGGAGAGTTGTTGTAAGGACCAAGTGAGACTTGCCAATGTGATGCGTTTTATAAAATGCTACAAAAATAGGAACTTTTTTTCTTAATAAAGATGGCAGATACCATTCTCAAGACACTCATAATTCTCACTCCACCCTCTTTCCTTTTATAGTAAAAATGTGGGTAAGAGCATGGTTGGGAGGAAGGAAGGAGTATTTGAGGAAATATGGTATGTATGAATCCATCCAGCTACTCTTAACAATGACGGGGTGACACAACTGAGAAAAGGCATTTTTAGTATAAACCAGGGACATCTGGACCCTGGCAGGGTTACAACAATTATGTCTTTGGATTCCTCTCTCTCTGGAAAGAAAGATGTTGAGAGTCTTTCCAGGGAAAAGGAAGCTTATTTTTCTGTGTTGATTTCTTTCATGACTCTCTTTGCTTCTCTACTTTCTGTCTGTTTATTAAAACTGTCAAGGAAAAGGAGTTACTTCTCAGGGGCCACTTCTGCCAGATTTAGGGCTAGAATGTTTCAGAGTTAAGAGGCCATGGCCTGGTTCTGAGGACACTTGCTGTCTAATAAAGAGCGCACCTTAATCATCAATTAGCGTGGAGGACCATCAGTTTAGGTATGCAACTGGTCTGTCTTAGAGGCCACTCAATTTAGCCTCCGTATTCGGCAGATGAGTAAACTGAGTTCCAGAGAAATTAATTAACTTGCTTGGTTCATACAATGAATAGTATGAAAGAGCCCTGGCCTGAGAGTCAGAAGTCTGTGGTCCGAGTAAGTCCTTTGCTACTGGCTTACAGTGCGACTCATTTCAGGGCTCACTGTGAGTCGCACCGTGAGGCTGTTTTCTCCCCTCTCTGGCCTGTAAAATGGTGAGCATGGACTGTATGGTCCCCAGGTCCTTTATAACTCAGATTTTCTCTCTTTTTTCCCCTCCAACCACCTTCTTCTCTGTTCTCTGGACTGGGCTCTGGTCTCAGAGTTTTGGATTGGACTCAGGGCTGGGCCAGTCAATATCAGTCCCTCAGCCACAGAAATTGTGCCTCTGGCTTTAGGCTGTGCTCTGTGGGTTGCTGGCCTTGCGGTCAGGACCCCGCTTAGAGCTTGTTCCCCTGGGAGGAAGTTGGGAGCGTGTGAGGACTGTGATCCCGAGTGTCTGGGCAGGGGAAGAGAACACAGAGTGAGGCAGGATCTGTGGGAATGAGCAGCTGAGAAGCAGTATGAACATCAGTGAGCACACTACTGACCCATCTTCGCATCTCACTCTCCTCTGAGCACCTCCCTCCTCTCATTGTTCCAGGATTTTTGCCAGGCTTTCCTTCCCACCCATTCACTTTTGCTATGAAATAAGGCTACTTCTTTTCTATCTTCCTTTACATGCCACGTGAGCCACACGTGAATACATTTGTGCAATCGTGTAGTTCTGTGATGAGACAAAAAATGTGTGTGAGGCCACACTTTGGGTAGGGGGAGCTTCAGGCAGACTGTGGGTATAAGGGGATTACTGAATCTTAAAGCTGTAAGGGGTTTTAGAGGTCATCGAGTTATTTCTAAGTAGGAATCCTTTCAACAATGTCCCCCACAAGTGGTTGTCCAGTCTCTGTTTGTCGACTTCCAGTTATAGGCAACTTCTTACCCTCCATTTTGCTTTGGAGCAGCTCTAATTGTTAGGAAGTATTTCCTCATATGAAGCTAAAACCCTGCTCTTCCTTCTGTCCGTTGCTCCTGCTTCTGCCGTCTGGGGCCAATGAGAATGTCTAATCAAGGGGTGCGGAAACGGCGACTTCGAGACCACATGTGGCCCTCTAGGTCCTCAAGTATGGCCCTTTGACAGAATCCAAACTTCACGGAACAAATGAAGTTTGGATTCCGTCCAATGACTGCACTTGAGGATCTAGAGGGCTACAGGTTCCCCCCTTCTGGCTAATCCCTCTTCCCCATAGCAATCCTTCAAATATTGGAAGCCATTTTTCGTGTCTCCTTAAAAAGTCTTTTGTTTCCTAGGCCAGACATTCCTACCTCTTTTAATGATTCCTTATACTCCCTTGTCCTGGTCTCTCTCTTATGAATACACATATAACGACAAATAGGACGGAAAATATTTGAGAGCCTTTACGGTGGGAATTCTTAACCTTTTTCGGGTCATGGTGGACCTTTTTGGCAGTTGGCTGAAGATGATGGGACCCTTCTCAGAATAATGATTTTAAATGCACAAAATAAAATACATAGGATAACAAAGGAAAATAATTATAGTTATCTATCTATCCATCTATCTATCTATCTATAAATCTATCTGTCTGTCTATCTATCTATGTATCTACCTATCTATCTATCTATCTATCTATCTATCTATCTATCTAAATATATACAAAGTTCACGGACCCCAGGTTAAGAACACCTGCAGTAAGGGGACTATAAGTAAGAGGATAGAGATTAGCGATCCTAAGGCCCTGACCTGACCCCTATGATAATGTAAGATCCTTGCTAGCAGGCCTTGTGCCATCCAGCTGCTAGCACATCTCTTGCATAAAGTAGAAGTTTAATACAATTATTCTGTTGTTGGATGTATGAAGGAATTCATAGTATCCCTCTGTAGGTGTCTATCTCTGATTCCCAGGACTCAGACTGACCATCCCTTGGCCTATGATTATTATGTTTTATTTATATTTAATTTATTTATGTGTTATTTATGTATCATATTATTATTATGAGTATTATGATTACTATGTTCATTAAATAACTGATGCAGTCTATTGTATTGTTTAAGATTGAATTCCCATGCAACTCTTAATTCTGTGACTGTGTGTCAGTCCAGAAGAGGACTCAGTGAGGGGACAGTTCTGCACCCAAAAATTCACAGCACTCTTGACCATTCCCATTGTGATAAATAGCAGGATTCTGTAAGAACCAGAAAGGGGCAAGGTCAACTGACTAGCCTATGTGGAGATGAAACCAACATCTCTGGCTTCCTCAGTACCATACTTGTAACCAATGAGCTTCCAACCACAATACTACTAACCATTTGCAGACACTGCTCAGAGCAGTAGAAGCTGCATCCCATCTGACTAACAGATGTGGCCAAAGTTACAGCGCTTTGGGCTTTTTTGGAAACAAGTAATATTGAGGACATGTGTAATGACTAAGAAGATAGGATATAATTTTGTTTCTTTTTTTCATATGTAATTTTATTTCCCAGGAACAGAGTTGGGCTGTTCCCTTTTATCCATTCTGTCTTAGCCACGGCAGTGTGGTATAATGGACACAGTGCTTGGGAAGAAGAAATGTAGGTTCTAGTCATGGCTCTTCTAGGAACTCACTGTATGATAGGATATGAGTCACTTCCCTTTTCTGGGCCTCAGTTTCCTCTTGTGTAAAATAAGAAAGTTGTATGAGATGACCTCTAAGGTCCCTTCCCACTTGGCTATCATGAATTTTAAAGTCCCATCCAGCTCTAATATTGTGTATTTTAAGATCCCTTCCAGCTCTGATATCCTATGTTCTGAGGTCCCTCTTAGCTTTGACATTCTCTGCTTCTCATTCTGTCCCAGATTCTGGCCCCAGGCCACAGATCCTTCTTTCTCTCTTAGCTTGTAGGTCTGTTTTACATTTAGGGCACCTCGTTTAGACAAGACTTTTTTCTGGTCACACTAGTGGTGTATTTCCAGACTGCCAGAGACAATATTGTGGGCCTCAGAAGGTAGGGCAGGGGAGGATCTCTGAAACTTCCTGGGAAACCTAGTTTTCATTCCCTAATTCAGTTGTCTGGATTCCTGCCCTAGGCCTGAGATTGCTTTTGGGAAAGGAGCCCATGACTTCACAGGGCCCCAGTGAAATATCAGGGCCTGGGCTTGAGTTGGAGTAGATAGAACACTTGGGAGGAAACTGGGGGGAAAAGAAAGGCAGGGGTGGGCTGGTGACGATGTTAAAAGAAAAACTATTATATTTTTAGCTTAATCACTTTTTGACTGAAGTCTGAGCAAAATCAGTGACAATGACCCAGGTCCTATCTGTCCTCAGGCCTAATTTCCTCTAGCAACTGAAACTAGAACAAAGCCAAGACTACAAATTCAAACAACTGTTGGATTAAGAGATGGGAAGTACCTTAGAACTCATTCTAGTCAACCCCTCATTTTCATAGAGAAGAAAACTAGATCCCACAGAGGTAAAGCAATTGCAAAGCCACTTAGCTAATAAGTAACAGAGTTCGGGTTAAAAGCCAGATCTTCTGACTACAAATCCAGTGTTCTTCCCAGGACTTCAGAAAGACAGTTGACTTTACCATTACCTGATAGAGTATTATTTCTTTGTTTCTTTCAGGAGGAATCACTGAGAGCAAAAGAAACTGTCAACTGTTGGGGGCACATTGGGAAGACCTAGACCTTCCACAGAGAACCTACTTATCTGATGATCCTTAAGAAGGTTAGGAGTGACTATTCTCATGTCTGGCCAGTATACCACCCAATCTATGGCACCAGTCACTTCCTAGCCAAGGCAGCTAGGTGGTGCAGTAGATAGAGTGCTGGGCCTGGAGTAAAGAAGACTCATCTTCGTGAGTTCAAATCCAGTCTCACACAGTTAACTAGCTGTGTGACCCTGGGGAAATCACTTAACCCTGTTTACCTCAGCTTCTTCATCTGTAAAAATGATCTAGAGAAGGAAATGGCAAACCACTCCAGCATTTTTGTCAAGAAAACCCCAAATGGGGTCACGAAGAGTCAAATATGACTGAAATGACTGAACATGAACATGACGGGAGTATCCAACCAGATGAGGGTAGAGTGGTAGGGACACTGTAGGGACTTACAGTTAGAGATCCTGGGAATATTTCACCTGTGGAGTGAGGTAGAAGTTTTAGAATTTGGGGGTTGTGTCTAAAAAGAGGGAGGAAGAGAAGGAAGACCAGTCAGGATAGGCAGATGAGACCAATGTCAAATTTCTAAAAGTTGTCAATGAGAGACTGGTTTAGAGAGGCAATCATAGAATATTAGAGCTAGAAGGCATCTTTTTTTGTGAGGCATTCATGGTTAAGTGATCTGCCCAGGGTCACACAGTTATTAAGTGTCAAGTGTCTGAGCCCGTCTTTGAACTCAGGTCCTCCTAACTCCAGGGCTAGTGCTCTATCCGCTGTGC